AACAACTCGGAACTGGAACGTTTTCAGTGTTTCAAAGTCAAAACTTTGTAGCGCGGATATAGTGCCTTTGGCTTCGTTTATATTTAAAAAGGAAGTTAGGGTGGGCCCCGAACTCTTGCGGTCGAGTGAATATGTGACTGCAGCATTGTCGCCTCCATCAGCATCTTCAGCTCTCACTGAAAAAATTGACATCCCAGCCTTGTTGTTTTCAGGCACATAAAAAGTATATGGGCTTTCAGTGAACAAAGGACTGTTATCATTAACATCTAGCACATCTACATGTATCACCTTCGTTGATGACAGCGAGGGGTTCCCTAAATCCTTAGCCGTTATTGTGATATCGTACATATGTATAGTCTCCTTATCTAGGTAGTCCCTGGTGACCAAAGAGTATGACTGTCCGTCAGGGGACGGCTTTAAGTCGAAAGGTAAATGACCGGACACACTGCAGACCACCTGTCCGTTCACACCTGAGTCGAGGTCCGTCACACCCATCAACGCCACCACCGTGCCAGGAGGTGCATCCTCTGGAATGCGACTTGAAAGGGATGTGATCTCTATTTCGGGTTGATTGTCGTTCACATCTTCCACTCTAACAACCACGTTGCAGTGTGTGGAGAGAGACACTGCACCTTTGTCCGCAGCCAGTATCTTAATATCATACACTTGCTTTTCCTCGTAATCAAGACCTCCTTTCACCGTTAGTTTGCCAGTTCTGTTATTCAAATCAAACGGTTCAGATGAGAGTCCTCTAATTTTACTCCGTAAAGAATATTCGATCTCACTGTTAACCCCTTCATCCGAGTCAGACGCGTTTACTGTCAGCAGAAATGTTCCTGCAGGTGCGTTTTCCTTTATTGTTATGGTGTATTTCTGTTTATCACACACTGGTGAGTTGTCATTTACATCAGACACAATAACAGTGATATTAATAGTACCAGATTTTGATGGTTTACCCCCGTCATTAGCTGTTAAGAGTAGCCAGTGTTGAGCGGCGTGTTCTCTATCTAAAGGTCGCTGTAAGATTAAGAATGGAACCTTTCCATCCTCCCCAAATTCTTCCGTTTCCAGCCGAAAATACTGGTTGTGGTTGAGCTTATATGATTGTAAGGAATTCAAACCAACATCCAAGTCGTGTGCTCCTTCCATTTGAAATCGAGATCCAACTATGGCGGACTCCAGCACCTCTAAGGTGTAGTTTTCTTCAGGAAATTTCGGTGAATTGTCGTTTACATCGAGTATTTCAACAGTTATTTGGTGCATCTCGAGGGGATTTTCTACAACGGCTTTCAGATTTGTGATGCATGGAGCAGTTTTTGCACACAGGTCCTCTCTGTTTATTCTCTGGTTCACCAACAAAACTCCATCTCTCGGATTTACCTTAAACAGATCCTGCTTTGTTCCTGACACGACACGAAGATTCTTATCCGTCAGTCTTCCAACATCTAATCCAAGGTCTTTTGCCACATTTCCAACTGCCGTGCCTATTTTCAATTCTTCCTGGATGGAATACCGTATTTGAGCAGATATTCCTTCCAAATTAGTCACAATCAGCAGGGCTAGAGAAAAAGAAATCCACACATCCAGCCATTGTTCCTTGATGTTCGTTCTCGACATTTTTAATAAAAAGCCTTTTAAGCAATGGTCTTCAATCTGTCAAAAAATTGTTCCGAAATTTTTCAGTTTCCTCTGACGGATATTAACGATAAAGGTCTGTTTCTACCTCCATTCTGACAAAAAATGAAAGCTTTTTTAGTCCAGTCTCTCAATCCGTCTCTTTGGGTTATCACTGAATGCACTTGTAAAATAATGATACCCCCTCACGGACACAGCCACCGTGTAGATATATAGTGTAACAGCACCACCCATTGTCACTGTAACGATGGTGCGGTGACGATAATACGTTTTCCTCCAGTATAGCCTAAATGTGATCTTGCTGAAATACTTCCAGAAATCTGCATCCAGGCAGTAGGCGCTCCAAGTAGGAGTAGAAGTTGTAATCACACCAGGAAAAGTTGTTATTTTAACATTTCTCTGTGTGTTAAAGGTTGGGTCTTACAAGCGGATCCTGAAAAAACACAATATACAAACTGAGAGCGAGGCTTTTCTTTCCAACAATGTCTCAAATAGCCTATTTCAACATTTATTTTTTTATTTCATGTCCTGATGTATTACAATGCATGTTTCCCACAACTAGTTCATATTTATCATTGAAAACGCTGTTGCCCAAACAGTAGACCTTTCATTTTGTCACAGATGTGAAACGTATCCACCCATTATATGCTGAGAAAGTAAATACCAGTTTCATTATTTCTACAGACATTTCAGATAATAACTGTTGGCATCTAAGTGTGTCAGGTCAAAGTGAAGAATTAGAAAATCTATGCACGGGAGATATTTGTCTTGTCTTTCCTGCAACAAATGTTAGTTTCCTGTAAAGCGCTGTACTATAATTGAATTATAGTGAAAATGAGATTTCCCTGAAAGAAAGATTAAACCCTTCATCAAATTTAGAATTTGGTTACATGTTGTGGTTATGCCAGCAATTAATTTAATTAATTGAAACTCTACCACTTGAACAGGCTCTATTTTTCTAGATTAAGGGCCACATTCTTTCCAGGAAATATGTTACAAAGAATTAGTTCGTCATTAAAAAATGATAGGCCCTAAAATAAAGCAAATTTTCTGTTGTGTGATAATGCAGGTACAGCTGCTGACATTCACATTCTCTCTGCTTAAAGTATGTATGGTCTGCAGCACACTCCCACAATCGTTGTCCTATTGAAGAGGTGAGCAGTGACATCTCATGGACTGAACCTGCAAAAGCAGCTATGACGAGCCCACTCATATGTCTGCTCTAAATGGTTCATAATGTAATTGTGCATTGTGCCCCATGCTGCTGCAGTGCATGAGATGCAGAATAAACCATGATAGAAAATTACAAATAACAATCACACTAACGGCAGCAGGGAAACGAAGTGACCTACAGAGTAAATAAAAAAAAGAATCCCCGCACCCCTCCCACATTATACGCAACGTATTGGTTCTGGAATTAGGCCAAACACATAAGTGCACGAGCGCTGCCGCATTGTGCAACACATCCTCCCATTTCTGCCTCCATCATTTCCCCCATTCTGCGTTGAGGCTATACCATAATGTTTTAAAGCACCTCATCTGCCTTGGTTGGCAGATGTATCGATAATATTTAACAGAGAATGCTCATCTGATGTATGCACGCTGCGGGTGCTGCACTGTGAAGAGGAAAGGGGGGTCATGTCAGAATAATAAATTACAGACGGCTTCAGAGCACACGGCGACCTCCAGCGAACAGGCAGCATTTCGCCATGGCAACGCAGCTCTAATGGGCTGGTCGCTGTCCATGGTGCTGAAAGCAAGCAGCGCTCAGGAAGGAAGGAAGGAAGGAGAGGGGGAGGGATGCAGGAGCTGTGAATGCTGCAGACAAAGAAAGTCTGCCGTTTCCAAATGCCCTGATGCTGTTAATTCTCTACAACATATATAATACATGTTTCTCTTAAAAATGATACACCTCCCTTATGGTTGAGTCAAAATAATCAAATTAATCATTTTGTAATGAATGTATCAGGGAAAAAAGCCCAGATAATATTTGTTGAAGAAACATGTGTAAAATATCACTCCTCAAATCACGTTTTTTTTCCTGCAGTATTAGAAAATGATGCATTGCAAATAAGACCCCCATTTCATACTACACATAAAACACATTGGGGCTGTATACGATGCGCATGTGTTAGCCTGCTAATGCCGGCTGGTGGTGGTTCTAGTGCTTTGTTCCACATTGGTGCATTGTTGTTCTGTGTATCAGTGTTCTGGTCTGCCAGTGGACTCCAGCAGGCAGTGTGAGAGTCTCCTCTCAGGGTCAAGAGGGGAAGAGACAGAAAATGTATCCGATCTCAAGCTGCCACTTTGCTCCAAACAAATAATATTATCTAAACTAAACCCCATATAAAAGCATTTTATTTAAACCTTACAAAGACACACCTCTTTAGTGCTAACATTTAAGGGTAGGGGATCAATCAGTCCTGTGGGCCTAAATGTCAAGCTGCCCTGCTCACACATGATCTCATCTCTCTAGGGAGATTATGTCATGTGTGTGCACATGCAAACACTGAGACAGACGCTCTCACTCCCTTTTGAGAAAAAAAAAATCCAGCAAATACATTGTCTGTAAAAGACTTAACAAAACCTTCTTATGATTATTTGTATTACATTTCAATACAATGTATCCCAATGCACCAGCTACTAAGAACTGGCCTTTAGCACTATTTATTAGACTATTTAGAGCATCAGTTGAGTTTTAATATTGTGTTTCTTTTCAGGATAAAGATGGCCCTGATGTCCTCACAGATGGTGGATGTGCTGACTGTGATGAATGCAGACAGTCCAGAGAGGGTACTTAGCTGGAGCTATCAGAGGTATAGCCATGGACTGCCCCTCCTGTTTTGACTCATATTGTGCACGTGAATTACTTTCACTGTTTAAGAAAATAATTTGACTCAATTAAAGAATGATGCTTGGATTTGAAAAAGGGCCAAACCTGGACTAGAGTCCTTTGCCATACTGATCTGCAACCCTTAGTGATTCTCAATCTGATCAGAAATGGATATATATAATATATATATTATATATATTATATATATATTATATATATATATATAATGTTATATATATATATAATGCGTCCGACCGCGAAACCTATCCTGGCTTTGAAGGAGCTGCGGGATTTCTGCAACAACTTTGAACCAAGTGGAATGGTGAGTGTGTACTCTCACCATATTGACTGTAACGTTAGATATCATTCTGGGAGCATTTATTTCAACAAGTAAGCTAAACGCTAACGTTAGCTGAGTGTTAGCATGCTAACGATTTTCTGTGGGTCCAGTTTATAACTTTAACACGTGTTTGCATGTGCTGTGTTTTAAGCTAGCTGACGATAACGTTACGTTAGCTTTTCATACTGGTGTTTGGTTAGGTTGCGCAGGAGTTATTTATTGCATTTATAGCAATAACTTAGCTAGCTTCTCAAGGCACGAGGTCATTAGTTGGTTATTAGCAGAGGCTGGGTAACGTTTTGCAGTGGAGTTAATGTTACTGGAACTGGGTTGTTGAACTGAAAGTTGAGCCAATAGTTTTCTTCTTGTTTTCACAGGTCCTTGTGACGATGCAATGGAAGTGTACATATTGTGAGTTCATAAGTCGACTCAGGTCGCCCCCGGATCGCGCACCGTCAAACAGCGGACTCGCTGCGGACACCGGGGTATCCGCACATCAAACGCGCCTTTTTCCCCCGTTCAAATACTACAGGCTGTTAACAGGCAGCCTACCATTAGGACCCAGGCAACAGGGGGCGGGGCATACCATACAATGGGGTGGGAGGTTCACCTTTCCTCCTGAACTCAGACAAACCTGAGAGAGCAACTGATCTACCTCGAGGCCAGCCTTTGTTTGTTAAGTTATCTTTCCTTTTTTAAACCTGTTTAAAAGCATGATTTTAAGAGTGAAATTGTAGAAAAAACATTCTGTAAAGTGTTAACAGTACTTTTTTGATCCATTTTAGATTTCCTCCCTGGCAACCATCGGAGGACATGACACAAAACGGGTTACATGGAACATCTTGCCCGCATGTTCAACGATGATGTTGGGAAGAGAATGAACTGGAAAGGGATAAATGGGAAAAAGTCCTTCAGCCAGATGGAGTGGAAGACTTTTCTCCTGCGTAAGTAACTGTAATATTTAATGAAAACAATTTGAAGTCAACCAGAGGTCTTAGGTCGTGTTCAAACTTACAAATTCTCTTTGCAACTTCAACTTCATTCTCTGCTCAGGTAGATATTACTCGACTATATCTTTACATAATAGTTATATGATATATTAGCTCTGAATATAGCATAGCAAACCTTTACATGCCAGACAGCCACTAGCTTTTAGACTGCATGTCTGCTATATGTTGCACTGAGGGTTCATGGGATTTTGTATGATCTGCTTGTGATTACAGATGCCGTCGCAAAGAATCATGTCTCATGTGCTGCCACAGATGATGAGTGTGAAACAGCAATGAGGTGGTTCAACCTGGCAGCAGACAGGGGAAGCTCCAGGAGGCGTGCCACAGTCAGCATCCCTACTGAACAAGCCTAAACATGTATGTGTTATACATGTGATACATGCGATGTTTTAAAATCCTGTTTTTGATACTATTCATTGCAGAGTTTGCTATCTGTTTAGGTCTTATATGCAGAGACACCTCAACTGTGGGGTCTGCTAGCCCCTCCAAACCAAGCCTCACATGGTTTTAATCCCCCTTTGTCACCAAAGACTCTCAGGAAATGTTTTACTAAGATACTTATTTTGAATTATGTTATAAGTTTGTTGAATGAGGAGTAGGAATGTTCCACCACTTGTATTTTACAGTGTATGCTCAGGACTGCATATTGGTGTTCAGTTGTTTCGATATGTTTAACCCAGTTCCTCTGTCCTTATCCAGTCAAGTTGGAATGTCTGCATGTGAATAGTCATTCACAAGGCACAGTTACTGTGTAATGCTGCATTTCTTCTCTCGACGAGTTGGAATTTCTTTCAGTTTTAACAGTTACAATGCAATGTTTTGAAAAAATAACACATTGGAACATTAAAATGTATTGTTTAATTTCTTTCCTTCTGTACAATTTTCTTGAAACAATACATTAAATCTCAAAATCAAACAGTATAATTCATTTAATTAAAAGTAAAGACATTACTTAAATAAACTAATGGTCTTAAGTAGCAATAAATAATGTTATATTAGTGATTTGTTTATATATGCTTATGTATGTTGAACTTAAAATAGTTATTTCATTAAACTTACACTAAAGAAAAATAATTCAAGTGAACTAATGATTTTTAGTAAAGATTACTAATGTGGACTTAAATTTGTCTACTGCATTCATTAAGGTTCTATGTTAACACAACTTGATCTGTTTAGTTCCTCCATTTGTAAAAACTTAAATGGTTTGAGGCAACGGGTTTCCACGCGGTTTTCTAGTAAAGTCAACTAGTTCGTGCTAACAGTGCACAGTGTATATTTTATTTTTTTACATTTAAGGTAATTGCTCCAGTTTTGTTGCCATATTAACACTGTTTCAGTATCAGAGAGAAATAATGAGATAAAAGTAAAACCCGGAGCATCCTGGAAGAATAATGATGGTGTTTTGGGCCCTAAGCAAAAGCCTACGACTCTTTCAGTCATTTTGTGGATTACAACAAACAGTGACATTTGAGGTAAACCTTTGATTAAAGATAAATCACATGAATGGAATACTGGAACAGGCTATGTTGTCTGTTCCTGTAGACTCCAGTCTGTATATGTTGACTATAATGTTCTCCTTGGACAGTGAGGAGTTGTTACCAATGATCATAAACCATGAAAACCTGTCACTCAGTGGCAATGGGAGCAAATAATAATCTAGAGAATATTCTGCTACATTCTTGTGTACATAGCTCTCTTTCTGAGGTTGACTTAATACTCCAATAGTGTGAATGCTACAGTATCACATTCTCTGACAATGGAGTAACACATTAAAAAGGCAAAGAACACTGCTAAAAACATATACAACAACTTGTCCTTAGGAATAAAAAACAGATATTGTGTGAGGTTATTTTTTTTGGCATTTTTATATTTGACACAAGCAGACATGTCTGTGTTCCGCCGAACCCCGAGCTTAAAGTACAGCTGTCGCTTAATTGACTACGTGAACCAGATGATTTTTGCTCTCTGAATCAGTAAAAATGTCCATATCCATAAACTGTATTGCAATGTATGCCTTCAAGGAAATTACTTTTCCATAAAGTGACTCAGACAGGAAAATCCTACTAGAGTGCTACTGCTCTAGTGTCTGTGATTATCTTAGAACTGAGCTCAATGTTTTTCAAACCGACATTTCAAGTTAAGTGAAACTTTAAGCAAGTTAGTTTAGCTGACAAGGGTGGAACAGGCATTATGATTAAGTAAAATAGGCCTTTGACTTGTCTTCACAAATGTAGTTTGTAATAGATTCACTGAAGAATGCCCTGCTGTGTAAACTGGATTCAAAAGTATTTTTACAATAATGCAGCAGTATCTTTGATGCAAAACTCAAGAGATTCACAAGTTCACCATTAACTTTAATGTTCTGTTTTGTCTTTGTAGTTGATAGATCATACAGACCATAGCATACAATAAGCTCACATATTACACCTTACTACATATTGCACCATAAAAGTACCACTGTACAAAAGCAGTTTTTGTATGTTTGACTGTAGATTACAACGGAATACAAGTAATGCAATGTGAGCTGTGCTAACGAGTTTGACTTCATGATGTCTGATTCTTGAAATGTTTCACATACTAGTTGGCCCATAAATCTGATGGCACTGTTTTTCTGTTCAGCATTAATATTGACAAATAAAGGCATATTAATAGATACAGATATGCTATACTGTATGTCGGTCGTATCTGTATCCCTATTTATGTGTTGCATATGCAGATACACACAGTAGTCAGTAATACACATGAGCACAGCTTTCATTGGTTGAAACCAGTATTCAGTATTATAAAGTAAACACTAAGTCATTAATTCAGTTTTCATCTTGTTACACAATCTCAGAAGACATTGAAATTAAGGAACATCCAGAGTTTGGCTTTGAAAATAAAAAAGTGAAAGTACATAGTCATGTTTGTGATGTATATACAGTCGTCATAAGTAGATATTAATCAGTCCATTCTCAAACACTCACTGCATTCACTTGTGTTTAGTTAAAGACTCTTATTCTCCAGTAATGTCCAAGTGAACATAACATTCAAGCACACTATTCACATTGAAGATGAGAGTACACTTAACTGTCTTCATCCATAGAAAAGTATAATGCTGCACGTCTTTACTGTGTTCTCATCATTGTTTTGCAAAATACTAAACAGTGAGGCCTAACTACAGAAAATGGATTTCTCAATATCATAGAAATATCTAAAGCTATTAAAGTACTTGATTATCCCATGCAAAAACAACTGAAAGGCAGATACATAATGGCTGAAGGCCTCACTTTTATCTGTTTGATGCACTGGCTAACTTAACTCAATCTCTCATCACTCTCATATTTAGGCCTAGCTCACATATAAAGCACAACATCAAGTACAAAACATAAAACTGCTAAAAGCTACCACATCTATAAAATACAGATTTCCTTTTGTTTCATACTTTAAAATCGTAGGTTGGTGCTTTTCTGACATTTAGTTAATTGTGCTGTTTCACTTCTTAATTAACTTGTTTATTATACATCAATGCTGTTAAGGGGCAAGACAAAGCACAGAGGTTAATAATGTAATCAACGTGTTTCATTTTTAAAGAAGAAACGATCTCTGAAAGGCATTTCAACGTTTCCGTGTCCACTCTAATAATCCTTGTTGAGGCTTCTTTAAATATCCACATGTTCAATTTTTCATACAGTCTGCTTCTTTGCAAGTATCTCCTCTGGATTTTTTTATGTATGATGGTCTTGGAGTGTGGTTGAAGCCATGCAGTCTTATCGTGCATATTGAATCGACAGAGAGGCAATGTTGATTGGAGTTTCATGTGCTTAAAGAAAGAGAAGGGAGAGGGCTTGGTCCTTAATTAGCCACCATAGTCCATTTGGTGTTATAGCGTTACAACTACACATTGTGAGAAGCAAGGTTCAGACTGAGCAGGATGGACGTAGGGGCGTTTATGGGCAGGGGTCTCTCCTTTCCTCTGGGAAGCTTTCCTATCGGATTCAAACCAGGACACAGCTGGAGGTGGGGCCTTATGTGGAGCTGCTGCTGCTGCTGGAGGATGCCTGCCAATGAGACAAAAGAATTAGATAGATATCGAAAAGACCCACAGCACTGACAGCCATGACTGGCCAAAATGACACATCTCATGCAGCCAATGTCTGTCACGCAGACAGGGGCTTCAGGCAGGGGACAGAGTGGGTGGAGGGGTTCGGCAGATCCTTGATCATGTAGTAGTGAGGTGGCAGGTCTATCAATGAATACCATGCTCCAATATTATGTGAAGGAGAGTGGTTGCTAGGTAACTGGGTGACTGGTTTCACTTTGCGTCTCTCCTGCACAAAGAATTAGGTCACAATTCACACTACAGCAGACAGCAAATTGAAATTCTGTGAAGTCAGTCACACTCAGTCGATTTACAGTATAACTAACCCAGTCATACATCAACAACACAGTCCATTCCAACATATAAACATTCAAAAATAGGATGTACTTATAACCTCTTAGTGACAGGTCAGTACGGGATAAACACTAATTCATCTTCACATGCACAGGACCTAGAACCTGAAGACATATCAATATGTTCTTGCCGTGTGTATTAACCAGGCATGAAAAGCAAAAGCCAGATTGTGAAAAAAGCAAAGCAAGCAAATGACAACATTGGTATTTGAAGTGAAGGATTTTGTATGTGACCAATGACCTTCAGGCTGAGCAGCATGTTTGTATTATTTTGTGTTGAAAGGTTAATACTCTATGAGCATATATGATACAGGTGTGTGCAGGGACTCTCACATTGTTCACCAAAAGTAATGACTAGGACTGTTTCAATATGTCATCTGGACCATCACTTTTGACTGTCTGTAAAAATGACCACAGAGTGTTAGACTCAGTATGTTGTCATTGTGATTATTATGACCTAATGTATTTGTCCCCTGAGGTCAATCAAAATCATTTGGGCTATGTTTTTAGGCTTTAAGAAGGGACATAATCATGAAATAGTGACAGAAGTATTTACTAATTACTTAGATTGCGTAGACATATTTTAGTGGGCTTTAGGGATGAGGCTGCAATACAAGCATCAGTAATCAAAATGTAGGCATGAAGAGGTTAACACAGGAGATTTGACAAGCCGCATGTTATTTAAACTGCGCTATCCTTTGCTCATGAAAAAAAAACTCCTTTTCCAAGAGATACTAAACAAGAAAGAATAATTTAAAAAAAGATCCACTGAGAACAAAACAAACACAAAAACTAAGTTCTGTAACATCATTCATAAAAGGGCATCCAGGGTGGGGGAGTGAGACTCCTGCATACCTCCAACTGCGGTGTGGAGTTTCCTCATTTAGGGTACTTAAGAGTGGGGAGAAAAGAAACAAGCAATTTAATGGTCAGGTTATTGCAAGCACAAGGAAGGGTTATTTCTGTATGTGTCCTATGATCAGAGAGCGGATGTAGAGGCACCATGAATAAAATGTTAACTTTGAGAAACACCACAGACTAAGCATGCTGGGACCCTTAATAACAGATACTGCAGCTTGTTACAATCCGTTCTATGAAGTTTAAAACACAGTTTTATATTTAGCTGTATCATTGTCTGTTCTTCCAGCAGCATACCATCATAGATATTAGATAGATAGATAGATAGGTCGGTAATTTGATAGATGGGTGGGTAGGTGTTTAGATACATCACATTAAATAATCAAATGGCACTGGAGCTGGGGAAAAAAGGTTTACTTTAAACAGTGAGTTCAGCATTTTCATTTCAGATATGTACTTGATTGTGTTTTCATTTGCAGTGAATAAAACAATCAAGACACAACTGTTCCACTGATATACAGACAAACTGAAGTCACATAAGAATGTCTCTGAAACTGTTTTGAATGAAAAGCCTTTTGAGCAGGTGCTGCTCTGTAAAGCAACCACAAAACTTTAAATACAAAGAGCAGCAAGATTTTCTTCGGGTTGGATTCTATTAACAGTTATATTTCTTTTTTGACCGGTGATTTCTGCTCTCTATCTGAATCATAAATGTAATGTCTCATTTTTAATTCTATTGTTTGATATATATGTTTTTTTACAGTGATTTAGTGAGTATCTGGTATGATAAGTTAAATACATGCATTCATTGTTGAATTTAGAACGCTACGTTACGTTTTTCATTGTTTGAAAACACAAAATGTATTTTCTTTATTCTTGATGAATAATTTCTTTGACATAACTTTTACTTTCCTCACACAATATTTAGTGCTACTAAAAACATTGCCCTTACCCTTCAGCTAAAAGCTGAACAGAAATGAAATATTGCAGTGTGCACTGCGTTAACAGTTGGCCAGTATTTCTTTTATTTAAAATGCGGTAAAGGAAGCTGCCATCTGTACCTGCAGAGTGGAAGCCGCTGAGCCACTCGTGTCTGTCAGTCCTG